GATCACATCTAAGTGGTGCGTAGCCAGACAGATATACTTCACGGTCCGTGATGTCCAGGGGCAGCCACATTTCAGTGAACGCAAGTATATCGGGATGAGACCCATCTACAAGCAGACCTATCCCACACATGTTACTACTTCGGCTGCGTACATTGCTTAGCACTACCGGAAGTTACTCGTAAGGTCCAGCCCTGGGTCGTGCGCTATCAGTACTGGCACTGGTAGGGCGGAAACAGACCGCCGACTGACCACCATAATACCCACCAACCGGAGACTTTGTTCACCGGTCGCTCGCCTGGTTTTGAGATCCTTAATGGCCTCTTTTAGCTTCAACCTATCCGCTAAGGGGAGGTCTGGCTGAACGCAAACATTAGTACCCTCCAATTTGAAGGCAAACCGCAACCGCGCGGTGCTTTCCTCCGGGGTGGATAGGACTACACGAAGAAAGCGCGGTCCAGGGTTTGGGGCGTTAACTTAACAAATAAATAAATAAATAGTTTATTCTCAGTTTCATAGAGACACACCAACGCAGACATGATCAAGGTTTAAAAACAGATATATATCACGACGATACATCGGGTTCCATCGTGTGTAGTTGAAACAGTGTCGGGATGAGTTAACATGTGAGTCTAGTCGACTTGCCAGTATGTAGTTGTGGGCAGTGACTATTCAATGGCGAGTCACATCCGCCACGTCGCAGTGTTGTTAAACAGACATTTGTGGCTTTTTATAGGGAGAAAGCTTGCCAGGCGAAAACCCACCACGTCCTGCAACACTGCCGTAAAGCATTTTGAGCATTAATGTTGAACTGGCAAAGCCGCTTGACGACTGGTTTTACCTTCGGTTTTTCGCAGAGTAATGGCTTCCAATTTTCTCTGTTAGTTGGACAGGTAATTTGATCGGGGTCGCCATTGTTTTTGAGGTCGGAGGAGGAGAGGGACATCGTGATCATTCATCTTGTTGTAAGTCCAGGTGAGCAAAAGTTCAACTTTTCCGCTGTCCAGATTTTTCAGATGTATAATGTATGGGAGTATGAGGATATGTCCAGTTCTCCATACTGGACAAGGGTTATGGTGATTGTAGTTCGGTCCTTTCGGAGTTCTACCATGCTCCAGGTAAGTCCATGTGGCTTGTTGCGTCCGTCTTGGGCCAAAACTGTTCCTCAGTCCAATCCCAGATCTCCAAGAAGTCCCGGACCTCAGAGAAAAGGGAAAGTGAGGGACAACCGAGAGAAGACCGCAAGAACAGGCATGGAGTTGAACATTGTTAATGTCTTAATTTACAACATTTGGGCTTGAGACAAAAGCATGTACACTGTGCAACAATAATTATGCTGAAAATGTCTTTTGAATATCCTACAGAATCATTAGCCGTATGGGTGGATTGCTAACGCCTGCGTAGAGACAAGATCGTCGTACAAGTAAGTAAAGTACGAAGTATCCGTTTAGTAGGAGCCAATAATTGCGTAGGGATAGAGCAAGGAGAGTTAGAATAATGGTAGTGATTGTCAGGTGCATGAACAGCACGTAGTTAGCGTAATCCGAGAGGGAGCGCATAATAAGCGAAAATACATAGGTTGCCGCGAGAGTCCTAAAGATTAATTGGTGGCAGGGCAGCGGAAGGATTGGATGCAGATATTCTAGAGGAATAAAGGTTATTGAGATACGGAGTGGCTCCTAACAAGCATTAAATCATCGCATATGCATGGGGCCAATGGCCACTAGCTACTTCTGAACAGAGATGCCTAATTTATGACGACCGACAGATGGTGGGGCTAGGAGAGATTAAGTGGCCAGATGTAGCCATTCCAATCAGACGCTTGGTCACTAGCGTATGCCTATAGGGTCGTTGAGTGTATCAACAGGCCAGTGAAGGTAAGTGATAGTTCAGGTGATAGGTCAACAGACCAGCTGAGCTGTGACGCAAACAATCCAAGAGAATGAACATTGTAAGAAGGGAGCTAGCTCCGGATATCCGCAAAGTTAAGTGGAAGCTATGGTGACTAGCTGCTGCTAAGCAGAGATATTGGCTCTAGAAAAGAATGTATCAGTGGCTGTTGAAGCCATATCATTAAGACGTTTGAGCACTACTGGATACCTACAGTTTCAATGAAGAAATCAACATGCAAGCGAAGCTTAGAGAGACAAACGTCAGAAGAAAATGAAGGCTTGAAAGTCAAAGAGTGGATCCTTGCAAGCTACATGGAGCCAACAATGGCTAGCTGCTATCAAGAAGAGTTGACGCGAGTAGGACGAACGACACAACGGCGCGCTAGGAGAGAGAAGAGTGACCAGCAATAGAGTTCGGATTGAGCCTTCAGTTACTAGTGGGACGTTACCCAGTCTAGTCAGTTTCCTGACCATGTTTTCGCAAAAGCTGCGTAACCTCCTCCACTTCCGTGACACAAGCTTTAAGATGACGCCGCCGTGTCATATAAATCGCGCACTGCTAAACGAATGTTACATGGAAGACGCACACATGCAAGCATTTCCTGCTTGCGAGGAAACGTTTTCATTAAATTAAGCACCACGGTATCCTGAGCCGACAATAGCCGCCAATTTTCGCATTACAGCCAAGGTTTCCCCACGTGAAAACTGTGCGAATGCCAAAGCCGGCGTTTCCAATCTCATGACATTCCCACTTAGTTGTCAGTTCAGTTCAGATGGGACTGAAACGATAGGAGCACCCCGTGAGTGTTCCATCTTGAGTGGACCGTTGAGCCAGGAATTAGTGAAGTGCTCGGATATTGATGGATCTAAAACGGAACACCTGTATTGCACCTTGGCCAACCAGTTAATGCCCACGTATCGTGCCCTAGCAGTCCCTGTTGTGGCCATCACGTGAAGTAAGCAAAGGATAGGAAGAGAAATCGAAGGTACAGAATAAGGAAGTGCACATAAATAAGAAAATAATACCAATGCGTGAAGAAAAGTAGAGAAAAGAAAATCGAAGTACGAAGGTGCGAGTTACTCAGGAAAATGGAGAGGTTTCATATTGCCACCCAAGAGAGTCAAGTTGCCGCTCAATCCCCTTAACCGTACATTCCCTGATAACACTATCCGGAAGCATGTTCCAGCGGTTGATAACTCGGCGGGACAGCCGGATTTCCGCCCTAATCCGATCTGACCGCGGTTTGTCCGGCTTCAGGGAATGACCGCGTAGAACAGACAATCTAGCGAAACTAAATAGCTAAGATAAATCCGGTCCAACCCTCCCAGTTAAGATACGGTAGGTTAGGATTAGGTATCCTCTAAGCCTTTGGTAGTGCGTTTAATACATTCCCAAACTAAGTAGACGCTAGGAGTACGTCCGTCACTGTAATCCCTAGACTAACCTAGTACCCACTCGTAAAACCCTCTCCAGCTCCATTTTGTCCCGGACGAGGCAGGGCGGACAAGCCTGGACGCAGTATTCCAGATGAGGCCGAACGAAAGCCGAGAACAGCCTCGTAAAGATGCCGCCCGTCAAGACTCCGAAAGATCGTCGGATTAACCACAACATGCGAAATCCTCTGCTTGCGGCCTTCCTCCAGTTGTCGCCGGAGTGTAAAGCCAAAGAGTGTACGAAGCCTAGATCAATCTGGCTAGATACACGGGGGAGTTCGACCCCACCGAGCACGTACTTCGTAGGAGGACAACCACCTCCAATTCGAAGAACGGAGCACTTTGCCTGATTTATGGGCAGTAACCATAAAGTAGACCAGTCCCAAAGCTTATCCAATGTTCGCTGAATAGCTTCGGAACCTCCAGGAACCTCGACAATGTTCCACAGATTCAGGTCATCAGAAAATAGCAGCGACGGTACCTCAAGCTCCGCGGGTAGGTCATTCACATAGATAGAGAACAACAGCGGTCTAAGGACGGAGCCTTGCGGCACGCCGCTGAGGACAGACCGCCTAAACGATAGGCCCCGGCCTACCCTTCAAGAAGGCAGTCACCCAATGAAGGGCGCGGCCAGATAACCAGTAGGAGGACAGCTTTTGCGCGAGCCTCAAAGGGGGTACCTTGTCAAATGCCTTCGAAAGTCGACGAAAAGCATTGCCAGCGCTGGCCGTTATCCACTCGATCCACCCAACTTTCGCGAGCCACCAGTAGATTCGTCAGACACGAAAATCCCTTCTGGGATTAAATCTACTCAGATGACTCTCCAATGAATGTGGCACCAGTTTCTCGAAGAGTTTGACTACTACACTCATCAGACTAACTGGCCTGCGATTTACAGGCCGGCCCCTGTCCAAATTTTTGAAGATGGGACAGATGACAGCTTCCTTCCATTCGGAAGGCAATGCACAGCTGTCAAGCGGTTTCTGAAACGAATTAGCGAGCGGTTCACTTAGTTCCGCAGCCAACTAATGCAACAGTTTCGGATGAATTAAATCAGGTCCAGAGACCGTAGAAGGGTTCAGCCCTTCTAACAGCCTACGAACTTCCGTCTCCGCTACAATAAAACAACCGCGCGGGGCAATTGTACCACCGGCACCTGTTAAAATATATTCATCAGGCGGATACGCAACACTTACCACTTTCCAGCAACATTCGATCGCTTACTATGCACACACACTAACTGATTATATAGGTACTGACATCTTTCCGGTAACAGCTGTCCAGTCTCCCATTGGTAAGCTTTCACAGTTTTAACGTTCCGACGAATGAACGATGTCGCCGTTTGCACCTGAAAAAGTTTCAGATCCTCATTCATCGATGAAAAGTCCAAATATGGACCCTTGAAGATACGTCGGAATGCACAAGAGTCATCCAAAATGGCTGCCTTCACGGTTGGATACCCACTCTCTGAGTGCGCAGGGATTCTGCTGCCCACAATACACCATAGCGATCTTCTGCTGAACCTTGTTCCGCAATGATCTTCAGCAACCCTTACAATGTTCGGGAAGTGACGGAGCTGACAAAGGAACTTCCTTCTGCTCTCTACTAACCAATGAACCAGTGAACCAATGAAAAAGCGGGAAAAAGATTAACTACCGTAACCCATTTAAACCGTCCAATTTATTGATTTCTAATCCTCCTCTTAGCATATTAACAACAACCTTAACATAATAATATACACACACACACACGTCGGAAGGCCAAAAACTTTCGTTTATCAACATACAACCTTGTGTACCACAATCACACTGTCAAAAGATCATTGATCGCGATTGGCGGATCCGATGCGCCGGGCGGGACCTGCTTTGGGTCATGAGAAGTAGAGTAGTTATTCTGCAACAAGATGGAAATTAGCGTGCTTGTGCCGCCTCCTGTGCACGATCTGGATACGCTAATTTTTCGGTTGGAGAAATATTACGAAGTATCAGCTGTTTACTCTGGCAACCGAATAAGACTGTTTGGCCCAGCCGACAAGCTTAGGGTTGCCCAAGTGAGTCATTACAATCTTATTAGTATGTTGCACATAGAATTACGCCTTGTTGTTCATTGGTCCTGAATCCACTCAGTCAATCTCTGTCACTCCTGATTGCCGTTCGTTGTTCGATATAACGGGGGTCACAAAAAGCTTCGAACTAGTGTTCGGGATTGTAATTGCTCTTAAGAAATCTGGAACCATTCTGGTCAAGGGACAAAAGAGAGATATTGATCGTTTTGGATTGGCGCTTGCGAAATTCGACAAACAATGCACAGAAGGTCGCGTTTCTGTTACACCATTTAAGCTCTCTAATTTACGGCTTCTGTGTCGAAAGTTCGCTGTCAATTTCGATGAGGTACCATGCAACGCTGCGGTACAAATGGCGCTTTTGACGTATCTTTCCTCTCTTCTGGCTCCAATGGAAACCAGTCTTGAGAACATACTTCCCCCAACGCACCTTGAAGCGTATCGAAGACCGCCGGTGGATCTGGAATCACCAAATCGAGTTGGTAAGTAGTGTTACTTTTCTGATGCAGCCTTAATGAAAATTGTTGTCAACAAGGAGATAAGTAAAGTAGACGACCTTGCCGCCTTGAAGCCGGACACCATACATGCATGCTTCACCGCTGTCGATAGTGTTCTGCTTACTTATGTGACTAACTGCGGTGTCCGTATCCACGGCAGTGTCACGCATTTATACCAGCTCCTTTGTTATGCTTCACTAATATGTAGCCTCGTGATTTCAGACCTATCACGATCGTATCTACCACCTCATCCTAGGTAGACCATTAGAGAACATGCGAATAGTGTGCTGTTTCACTCTTAGTTAATATATGCTAATCAGATGGTCAAACGCATCGTAATTCATTTGTTACACAGCACAACTTGGTCAATGCATTCATTGAGTAGTAGGGCGCAAAAGGGAAGTCCCGTGTTAGCCTCGTCACCTGCACTCGGAGCACGTATGTCGTCGCGACTCGGTAGTCCTCAGGGGACGGATCTACAACAGTCTCCGGTAGACGGTTCCAGTCACTCACTACCTAAGTAGAATGAGCGATGGCGGCGTGAACTTTGAGCTTCCTCGTTTTGAATGGCTCCCTGTTGTGACCCCTTGCTGAACCACTTATGTTGGGCTGGAAAACCTTTTGTAGCTCGTTTCTTATTTTCCCTCTCATCATGCGACTCGTAAAGCTAAGGTCTACACGACGACGACGGTGTTCCATGGAGACCAGATTCGTCTGTTTAAGCTGGTGGGAGTAGGAAGTATCACGAAACCCGGAAACGTACTTGGTGCCACTCCTCTGATCCTTCCGACTAAAGCACACAAGCTTAGAGTGAATGCAGCTGACAGACCATACTCTAGTATCGGTCACATATGAGAAGTGAACAGGAGCCTGAAAATCTTCGGTGTCACTAGCGAGAAGGATCTACTTGTGCCACAGCACATTCTGTTTGCAGCGACAACCTTTTTCGGTGTATCCTGTATGGTTTTTCGATCAGCTGCTTTTATTACGCGTAGTTCTTTCTCCTGAGCGGTGTGTTTGAGATGGAACCCCCAATGTGATACGTTCTAAGTGGCTCAGGAGTCCCAATCGTAATTTATTAGTAGGTGCCACTTGTTGGTAATCCGTGCAGTCAAGTTCAGACACTTCAGATCGCAGCTTAAAATCATGGGCGTAGATCAAGTATTCGGTTTGGGTGTTGCAGGAAGCTCAACGATGTACACCTTGAACAGTTCGGGTCCGATGGCAGATCCCTGTGTAACACCGCTGGTCAGGAGCACTGACCTGGAAAGCCTTTCGTTTACTCTCACTTCAAGAATTCGGTATTCTACGAGTGGCTTGCCACCGACACCAATTTCCATAAGCTTCTAGGGTAGTCACTGGTATAGGACCTTATCGAATCGACAACAATGCATTGTCCGTCACCAGTTGACCTTGCCCACTTTTCTTTCGCTACCAGCAAGTTGGTAGAGCAAGAACATCTCTTTTGGAAACCATTCTGAATAAAGAAGTGATTTTGGTAGTTCGGTGGTTCTCCTCCCAACCCTGACACCACACAGTGGGTACACCAAATGCCACTAAGAAGTGATTTTATTTTCGTTGCAATGTTTCTGTATAGTGCGTTTGATGATCTTTTCCATAACTTTACTGATCCGGCGATAGTTCATCGGGTTCTTACGATTTTCCCCTTTACACTTAGGCATTCCATTTCAGTTTTCCAGTCGACACGTGAACGATCAGCCTTCAAAAACGTCTTAAAGACTTGGCAGATGGGTGGAGCAACATAGTCAGCCACTCTTGAGGAAAAGGAGATGCAGTCCGTCAGGGCCAGGCGAGGAGTTTGGATCAAGTTCAATTATAAGTTTCATAACTGTGTCCGAGTTGAATTCAATAAATTCTAGGCAGTAGGAATGCATGGATCCGTATGTGTTGGTCTGCGGCATTTCTGGCGAATCTACGGAGAAGTATTGTCGGGCCAGGAAGTTTGCTCTCTCGTCCTCATAGAGCACAATACCTGTCGTGTTGGATAACAAAGTTGGTACGCCGCAACCGGCTTTGGTTCTTTTGGTCTAGATAAAGATTTTTCTGCCGGACTATGTTCATGATGTCTTTTCTAACACCTTTCCTAGGAGAATAGGTTTCTTACTGCCAGTTTCTTCGAGTAATCCGACGCCAATTGAGCTAACGTGAATTTACTCCAGACTGATTCATGAGAAGCCGCAGTTTCCGATCACTCCAAGGAGAACCTCACACAGGGCTTCCTTCTGGAGTTTAGGACAACCTTCTCAATGCGCAGATTTATTTTGGAATTTTGAAGCTTCCAGGCACCATCAGTATCTATGTCTTGAGGGTGGTCCAGTCTTGAGTACTAGCCGCTGTTCTTAGGCATGACGGATTGATGCGCCCAAAGTTCCAACGGTAGACTTCGTTCTTGTGAATGACTGAGCGTTGCATTCAGCTGAAGAAAGTGTTCAGGGATCACTGTGGCCAATTGGTGAGGGTGGTCCGATCGGAAACCTTACATAGTGTCAGTACTAGATCGCGAATATGCAGTGGCTGCCTCGGGAGTATTCTGGTTGACGTGGGGATATGCTGTATTAGCTTGGCTTCAAGAACTTCACCATGAAGAGCAGCATCAAAACAATCAGGAGAGAGCCTGCGTTTGAGCAGATTCCAGTCGACATCGGGTGCATTGAAATCCCCCAAAATTAGACGGTTTTTGCCTCCCATAAATTTTGACTGAGTCCAGAACGCGGGCACCGTTACTCGACGGGACTTGTACTCCACTCCGACAGGGGCTTGAATGCGTCAGGTACCCGACACCACTGCATTTCTGAGCCGCTGTTACTGATGTTCTCGATAGCCCGCACCTTTAGGTTGATCTCCAATGAAAGATAACACCGCCCCCAGTCTTCGCTCTATGGCGATCAACCCGAGAAAACTGATATCCTGGGATTTGCACTTCACCATCACTAGGACTCAGCAAAAGCGAGGTTTGGGTGTAGCTCCGATGTGAAGGGGAGGATGTCATCCTGCTTGTTCCTCATGCTGCGAACATTGACAGACATCACTCGCAGTCCATGTACTGGCCTTGGTCTTGCGATCTGGGCAGGACAAGAATCGGGCTCCATCGAGCTCCCGGAGTACTCGGCACAACACAAAAGGACGACTAAAATTTTTTGGTTGAAACGAGTATAAAAGTGGAGTTAGAGCGCATTTTGCCACAATCCTTTAGTCTTTTGGGCCACTACGCGCTTCTTCAAGCCCGTTTTTCATACTAGCATTCTTATCATAAACATCCATAGACTTCTTTCCTGATCCACAGTGAGGACAATCTTGGCATCGAGTTATCTGAGGTAATAATCATTTTGGCTGGTTTGGTTCAGTGGAATGTAAACGTACGAGGGGTGGTTGAAAAGTTTAAAGCCTCGAAAACATCAAATGAGATACAACATTTTCACTGCTTTTACTTTTGGACCTAATAATCAGCCTCAAAAGCAACGCACTTGCTCCAGCGGTGCTGAATTGCCTCTGTCCCAGTGGAAGAAAACCTTTCAGATTTTGACTGTAATAGCTTTAAGGCTTCAAGGACCTCACTGTCTTCGAGAAACTGTTGGCCAACTAAAGCTTTTAAGTTTGGCAATATGTGGATGTCAAACGGGACCAAATCTGCTGAATGAGATGGGTGAAACAGAAGCTGGAAGCCGCAATCATGGTTTGCTTTTTAGGCAATCGAAAAGATGTCGGCTGGAGCATTGTCATTGCGAAGAATGACTCTTCGTCAGCATTCATGGACACGCTCCTAGAACTGGTTCTCTGAGTCGTTTGGAAAACACATTAATATTTTCAGGTTGTAGCGTGACCTCAAGAAAATCCATCATTACCGCATCTCATGTCCCAAGAGACAGATGTCACCACCTTGCCAGCTGACAGTGTAATGTTGACCTTCTGTAGCTTCTGCTTCCATCGCTCTGAATGATCCTTTCTTTCTGACTGATACGAGCAGACCCGTCGCTCATCCATAGTGAGGAATCGTGCATGAAAATTATCGGCAACAGGCTCAAACAGTCCCAAATTATTCTTTGACACCACATGCCGAATGCGATTCTGCTCATAAGTCAGTAAACGTGTCATCTATCGAGCGGAAACTTTTGAGTGACCTAGCTTTATCGCTTCTGAGAGATGCCCTAATTCTGCTACCTGATGTTAGCCGGCGATTTTCTTCATTAGTAGCGGTTGATGGTCCCCCTCAACTAGGTTCGCCTTCAGCACACCCTGCCGCATTTAACTGGCATATGAAGTGACATTGTCATGTAAAGTATTGAGCACATCATTTTTGATTCCAGTTAGCGAGACTTTTTTAACTAGAATAATTTATTCTGCACGATGCTCCAATTTCTCTATTTACACAAACTTGTGGACCCTTGTCTGCTTCAAAAATCGGTTGAGATGAAGGAAATAAATATGGGTTTGTAGTATATGAAAAGGGAAAGGTGATCGATGAAAAAATACTTGTTTGGCTTGTCTGGCTATGAGATTTCTGTGAACGATTCAAAAAGTTTCATTCATTCCACATAGAATGACCGTAGTATTCTCTTAAAGTCCAGATACATTTGCAAGGCAGCACGCAAAATCAAGGCCAATCTGGCCATATCTGCCATTAAATTTATATCGCTATGCCTGTTTGACCACTTTCGTTACTCTACTTCCGCACAGTCTCAACGACTGGTTCGTTTAAACTATGAAAACTCATATATATATATATATATATATATATATATATATATATATATATATATATATATATAAGATGTTAGAGTCAAACCATCATCATCAACAGCAGTACATCAGCCATTTGAACTGATGCTTCGCTCCCTTACAACCATGAGGACCTACGAAATAAAGAATAAGAATAGGGAGAGAAGGGGGACTTACCTGAAAAGCTTAATGCCCTAAGCAAACATTCAGGGTCAAGGCGTCTACACCTTGTGTTAACAACATACCGT